CTGGAAGTCCAAGAAGACGACATCTACTTCCTCCTTCACACTAAGCAGAAATGATGGCTGGATCAAGTTATAAGGAAGATCACAGCATAACCACACAGGACTGCTATTTCATATCCTGATTCTCTTGCACATCTAACTCTGTACTCACTTGGTTTGGGCCTGGCACAAAGTGTTAATGACAACAGATTTTCCGCCTCCAGTTGGTCCAACCACCATTGTAGTGTGACGAGTTAACATTGTCTCATACATTTGAACTACCTTATCCACCTGAAAAACATACATTTACATTAACTTAGATACTGGTGCATGCATCTCATATGGGCCAGACCCTCAGCTATAACTGGTGGAGCTGCACTGACTTTAAGGAAGGCACTCTGATTTCCACCAGCCAAGGGTTTAGCTCTTTATTTACAACAATAATTTTCAATGTTTCTCCTACCTGGACTGGTAAAACAACATAACCACCTTCTTCCAGCACTTGCTCTACAGCATCATTGAAGTTAGGATAACGGACTCGAGGACAATCCAGGCCAGGAAACAGGTCAGAGATCAGGCCAAGGAAAAGGGGTACATCTTCAAACACAAACTTAGGAAGATTCATATCTCGCAGAGCTCTCATCAGTACCAAATCCTAAACCAAACACAGAAAGGTAGAGCTTCTGTAGAGAGCCAACCAATTATCTAATGCAGTAGTTCTCAAACTTTTTCTTTTTGTGGACCACTTGAAAATTGCTGAGGGTCTCAGCAGACCACTTATTAAATGATTTTTTGTTCTACAAATCAAAGCACACAACTCATACTTTAATATTAGTAGCCTTACCTTACAAGTACAGATATTGTCGAACGTTCCACAACCTTTCTGCAGACTACCTGAATGGAGCTCGTGGACCAGTGGTGGTCCACAGACCAGTTTGAGAACCTCTGCTCTAAGGCATAAAAAGCTTCAAAAACAGTTTGAGAGCTATCATCCAATTATTTTACCCGTTTTGGTTATCTAGGGGTGCAGGTAGCAAACTTGTCTCTCTTGACATCAACTATTATGGGACACAAAGCCACTTCACTGGGATTAAGCTGATCAGTTTCAGCTGGGATATTAAATTCCCTTTGTTTTTCTTATATTAACTGAATTCCCCAAATGTGAGGGACTGAAGTATCCTAAATTACTGATTGCTTTTTGAATTAACAAAGTCTCAATCTTAAAGTAACTGCCTGCTTTACTGAAAATATCCAGCCTGCAAACAGTCCTTGAGGGCACTTTATTAAAACCTGAATTCTTGCCAGCACAATGTATAACTGGAGATGTCTTCATCTGTGTGGAGCAATTTTTCTGTCTGAGCAGAAATTTGAAGAACTTCCCAGAATGTTATAGGAGTTGCAGCCCTAAAAATAAGCAAACCTTGAGATATAAAATCCACACTGTTTATACTGAAAACTGGAGGGTATGCCTTGCACATGCAAATATGCCATTCAGGGATACAATAGGTTTGTGCACATTATGGGAGCTCAACTGATGTGCCGCACTCAAATTTTTTGCCCCCATGTTCATTTAGCCTCTGCATTCTAATATAATAAAAGCCTTAGCCTGTGCATAATGCTTTATTTGCACTCTGATTGGTTGTCTCAGCAGCCAATCACAATGCTGACTGAAACAACCAATCAGAGTGCTCCAAGAGTGTTTCAGACAAAAGACAGTGGCAGCAATGCACTGCCAGGATGGCGGGGATGGAGGGGACAGAGTGGGGGCCTGGCCTCATTTCCCCCCTCCCCCACCCTGCTCCCTGGAGGTGGTGGCAATGGAACAGACAGAGGGGGTGGCGAAGCCAGCAGTGCTGACCTTGCACCCCCCCAGCCCTGCTCCCTGGAGATGGTGGCAGCACAGGGTGCTGGATGAGGGGGACAAAGGGGACGGCAGGGCGACCCCCACCCCCGCTCCTGGAAGGCAGCAGCAGCAGCATGGGACGGTGGGTGGCAGTGCCCCCCCCATCATTCTTGATGGGCAATTGGCTAGTCCTTGACATAAATGCTAAGACTTTCAAACGCGTAGGAAATGTACACACAAAACTATAAGCTAAACATCTGAGTGTCTACAGATATCCCTGCTCTTATCTACATTTTGCTGGTAATGTGATCTGCACATATTGACAGCCCCTTTCTTTAAGCCCTGCATAGAAAGGTAGTATGCAAAGGTGATGAATCTGTTAATAATGATGCTGAGAGATGTACGTCACTGAAAGGGCAGTGCTTCCATTGCTGAGGTATGATAGTTGTTGCAGTTGCAGACCAAGCATTTCCAATATAACCACACACAGGTTATCAACAGTCTGTCCTGGCATGATGAAACAGAGTGTGTCTACCTCACTGAGGTCAGGTGAACCTCTCTTCAGCTCTCCTGCCATCACTAGTACTGACTTCAGGGCTCGTAGTCCAAAATCATAATGATGCTGTTTAGAAAGTTGTTCTTTTGCCAATTTGTACAACACTGTCATCTTTTTGGCCAGGCTCTGTTTGAGGGAGACAGCAGAAAACCATAAGTGCATTGCAACCCACACCAGATACCTACCCACTCGTTTTTTTATACTTAAGAGTGTTCTTCCCTTACCTTTGCCAAAAGGAACCCTTCAGAAAAGAGCATGATTTCACAGATTTGCTGAAGATCTGGTACAATCACAACCACAGGTCTGAATAAAGCTTTTACAGACTCAGGTAACTCAGTACGGCCAGCGTAACCAGGATTCATGGTAATAAAAATGCCCATGCGTCCATCCAGGGAAATTTCCTGCCCTTCAAACTAAAACATAAGTGAATGCCAGAATTATGCTGATTTGTAATGAAAAGAACCAAAGTCATTTACAATAGAAACACCACTTTGTGCTTCTTAATTATACCTTCTATCTAGGGATCTTGAAGCTTTACCAGCAGCAATAAATTAAGTCTCACAACATCCATGTTAGTTAGGTAGATGCTGTTGCCCCATTTTATAGCTGGGAAAAATGAGCCAGAGAAGGTAAAGCCCATGGCTCAGCACCTCTGAAATTCAGACCAATTATACCCAAGCGCTACAAAATGACTTGCAGGAGCAGAAGCCCTCAGATCTCATGGTATTTGTACCTCCACTGACACCCCAGGACCAAAACCAGACTCCATTCTCAGTAATCTCATGTTTATGATATTTACCTGAAATGTTTTTAGCTGATTCATTAGAGCATTTCGAATTGTCTGAATCTGAGATGAGATGACTGAAAGCACAGAAGCATCTATGCGATTAAATTCATCAAAGCATCCCCATGCGCCACACTGGGCAAGACCAGAGAAAATTTTACCAACTGCCTAAAAACAAACCAAAAAACAACTCAGTGTTAGCACACTTCGGTATACATTACATCAATGCAGGACTTTACAAAGCCTGTGAAAACGTATTCAGGAAAGTCATTGCAACCTGCCTGCCTCCTACAAGTTGTATTAATAGGCTTATTAATCCAGTACTGACATGCTTGGAAGCTCATCAGCTAGCCACTGAATCTGAAGATTGCAATACAAATCCAAAATTTTAAACTCAAACCATTTTAGGAATTTATAAAAGGCAAAGCATCATTTACTATATTTCATTTTCAATTGGCATGGTATTTCTATGTAGCCAGATGTTTCCAAAAAGTGAGAGCAAACCCATGAGCCTTGCTATTGCATGTAATGGTACTGTGGCTGGTATGTTGTTACTGAAGACTATAGCATTATAACTCTTACTTTGAAATCCATGCCTTCTCCACAGTTTGTTACAACACACAGCAAACCAAGCGCTTTGGCCAGATCTTTGGTGGTCTCTGTTTTCCCTGTACCTGCTGGTCCTGCAGGTGCTCCTCCCAAAAACATGGACAATGCCTTTTGGAAAAGAGCCAAAAAAGCAAGGCTGAGTAGGCATGAAGGTAACACACCACAGTTCATCTCCACCAAACATTTTAAAGACAAGTTTGCACAATAAAAAGGGTTACATATGCTTATACAATCCACAAGATAGAATCATAGAAAATGAAGGTTGAAAGGGGCCTCAGGAGGTCACTTAGTCCAACCCCCTGCTCAGAGCAGGACCAGCCCTAACTAGATCATCCCAGCCAAGGCTTTGTCTAGCCGGGTCTTAAAAACCTCCAAACATGGAGAATCTATAACCTGTCTGGGTAATCTGTTCAGTGTTTTACTGCCCTCCTAGTGAGAAAATTCTTCCCAATATCTAACCTAAACCTCCCTTGCTGCAATTTGAAACCGTTGCTCCTTGTTCTGTCATCTGCCACCACTGAGAACAGTCCAGCTCCATCCCCTTTTGAACCCCGCTTCAGGTAGTTGAAGGCTGCTATTAAATCCCCTCTCAGTCTTCTCTTCTCCAGACTAAGCAAGCCCAGTTCCCTCAGCCTCTCCTCATACATCATGTCCCCCAGTCCCCTCACCATTTCTGCTGCTCTCCACTGGACTTTCTCCAATTTATCCACATCCTTTATGTAGTGGGGGGCCCAAAACTGGACACAGTGCTGCAGATGTGGCCTCACCAGTGCTGAACAGAAGAAAATAATCACTTCCCTTGCTCTGCTGGCAACACTCCTACCAATGCAGCCTAGTATGCCACTAGCTTTCTTGGCAACAAGGGCACACTACTGGCTCATATTCAGCTTGTTGTCCATTGTAACCCCCCGGTCCTTTTCCACAGAGCTGCTGCCCAGCCAGTCAGCCCCCAGCCTGTATCAGTGCATGGGATTCTTCCACCCTAAGTGCAGGACTTTGAACTTGTCCTTGTTGAACCTCATGAGATTCCTTTTGGCCCAATCCTCCAATTCATCTAGGTCACTCTGAAGCCTAGCCCTACCCTCCAGCATATCTACTACTCCCCACAGCTTGGTGTAATCTGCAAACTTGTTGAGGGTGCACTCTATGCCAACTTCCAGGTTGTGATGAAGACACTGAACAAAACTGGCCCCAGGACTGACCCCTGGGGCACTCCACTTGATACTGGCTGCCAACTAGACATCGAACCATTGGTTACTACCCTCTAAGCCTGATACTCCAGCCAGTTCGCTATCCACCTTACAGTCCGTTCATCCAGCCTGTACTTCCTTAGCTTGCCTGAAAGAATGTTGTGGGAGACGGTATGAAAACACTTGCTAAAATCAAGGTACACCACATCCACCGGTCTCCCCACATCCACAGAGCCAGTAACCTCATCATATAAGGTAATCAAGTTGGCCAGGCATGACTTGCCCTTGGTGAATCCATGTTAACTGTTCCTAATCACCTTCTTCTCCGAGTACCTAGAAATGGATTCCTTGAGGATCTGCTCCATGATTTTTCCAGGGACTGAGGTGAGGCTGACTGATCTATAATTCCCTGGATCCTCCTTTTTCCCTTTCAGTATGTTTGCCCTTTTCCAATCTGGGACCTCTCCTGATCACCATGAGTTTTCAAAGATGATGGCCAGCAGCTCTGCAATCACATCAGCCAACTCCCTCAGCACTCTCAGGTGCATCCCATTTAGCCCCATGGATTTGTATATGTCCACCCTTTTTTCTAAACAGTCCCTAACCTGTTCTTTCACCACTGTTAGCTGCTCATCTCCTCCCCAAACTGTGCTGCCTGGTGCAGTCGTCTGGGAGCTGATCTTGCCTGTGAAGACTGAGGTGAAAAAGGCATTAAGCACTTCAGCTTTTTCTGCATCCTCTGTCATTCGGTTGCCTCTCCCAATAGTACAACATAGCATATGTACAAGCAATAGTGTAACTGTTCTAACTTTGTCCAGGCTTGGGTTAATTAAGCACAAGATAGCAAATTACATGAGATTATAATGAACTTTACACTATTATCTAAACTGGATTACCTGAGGTCAAAGAAAATGGCAATACTCACTCTGAAAACACCAGAAATATATTTCAGTGAAATATCTCACCAAACAAGTTCCTTAACATATACCTGTGTGAGGGTTAGGTAGATACGGTCTGTAAGGGGAGTGATAACCAGTCGTCCATTCAAGCCCATGTATTCATAACCATAGGAAAAAGTGCCAGTGCATTGACGCACATTCAGCTCATCTGGCTCCCGATCCCAGTAAAAACGCAGTTGGCTTTCCCATTCAAATTCTCGAGCTTCTAGAATGCTGTAAAGACAGAGTTCTTCAGATACAATGAAATGCTGTGAGAATAGATTACAATCCCTGGTGTGTTCTCAGTGTGGCAGTGGATTACCTGTCTCTCACAAATGTATCAACTATATCTCTGGCATGGACATCAATAATGAGAACGGTGTTGTACTTTTTACGGTCATTTTTGCTCAATGGCTTTGTAATTCGTGTAACCAGGGCATCAATCTGCTGATGCATTTTTCTGGCATAAAGTTTCATGGCCTGTTTTTCTCCCTTCTTCACTTTGCAGAAGACATCTTCTACCTCCCAAGTCCACCAGATCTGATTAGCAGCAAGAACCATCATGCCCTGGTACAGCAGCATCCAGTCAACTCTATGGAGAAGAACCAAACACATACAGTCTTTCCATAATAAGCAAAAATATTCCACTTACCCCAGTGAGTCAAAAGTCAAAAGACACAAAGCAAGTATATGAATACATCTTATCTTGAAAGTTCATAAAACGATTCTTTACACTGAAAAAGCAACTGTTAGTATCTTAACAGTTGTCTCACAGTTAGTATATGGAATTCAAATACATATAATTCCATTTACGCAATCAATTTTCTGAGTTAATTTTTCAGATACTCACTTGGAATACATAGAAACAGACTTCACATTTCAAATGTAGAATTTAAGCAGGATTAATAGAAACTATAAAGGCAACATCTACATTGCTTATGCATCGGGCTAGAAGCTAAATGCATAGGAAATGGGAAGCAATACATTTTTGCTGGGCACTTAAAATACTGTGTGTATGAACACACACTACGCAGATGTAGACAGAACAGGAGTAGCCAATAACATAGGGAGTTTCTACAACTATTTTCCTATTATATCAATTTAAAAAAGTCAACTGCACTACAGGAGTTATGCTATGGTTCATTAACTTCACCTGCTTCTATCTTCACAGTATCGGAAAATGGCTTCTTTAGTTAAAAGTCTGTTTGTTCTTCTCATTTCAGCCAGAACGGCTGTCATCCAGTTCTCAACTCTGCCTTCTGCTGCTACGGCTCGCCGGAACTCCATCACTTCTCCTTCAGCTGAAATCATTGCTGTTGCTATTTTTTCATTGCTGTCACCCTCCTGAAACCTCAGGGATGCAATATTATCATACATCTGAAACATGAAGCAGAGGAATACAGGTGTCATTTGCACTAAAGTACTAAGAAATAAGACTCCTATCTAACTCCTATCAGTGTTCACAGGAAAACTTCCCTGGACTCTAAACAGAACTAAATCAGGCTCTAAGGGCATGTCCAGATGAGAGTGGACATTTGGTTCCTTGGGGACAAGTAGTGGTGGCGCACCTTGCGCTGCCGCTACTTGTACCTGGGGAATGCCTGTACTACATGCGCTTTAGTGGGTGGCAAGTTACCCCAGGTGGGGTACGAGAGGCTGGGGCTAGCACTGGGCTGGCCTCAGCAGCCTTACCTAGAGTCCTGGGAGCCTCCTGGGGCTCCAGCAGCAACGATTCTGGTGCACAGAACCTGGCCAGCAGCCACATCATGGCTCCGGGTGGCCCAGCTCCACTTCTGAGCATTGTGCACTGCCCATGGATGTGCTACTCTGCTTTTTTTTTTTACCTGCAGTTTTTTTTTTAACCCTAGGGGTCAAAAAAACTCACGGAAAAGAGAAGCAGAATAGCACACACATGGGCAGCACTCCCTTGCAGCACAGAGAACATATAAATGTGTGGTATGTAGTGCCACAGCATGTTTGCGGCGCCACATATCTCACGGCCACACTTGTCTGCACACGGCCTAAGTGACCAAATACAATAATAATAATGCAATAATAATAATAATATTATTGTTATATTTTATGTGTGTGTGTGTGTGTGTGTGTGTGTGTGTGTGTGTGTGTGTACACACACATATACATATATATATAAAAATAAATGTGGAAGTCTGCTAATGTTTTTGCAGTCATTTGCAGAGGAGTCCACTAATCAGGAAAAAATTGGCCAAATTAATAATTTTGCAGTAAATATGAATCTACCAAAGGCATAAGGGAAAGTTATTGCATAAAGGTTCACAGCTGGGTGTTCAGAACCTCTCTCTAAAGCAACTGATATGGGCCATCAGATCCAATCTAGAGATTTCAATATTTCCTTAGTTACTGGTACAGTATTCCCTGTATAAGAGAAACATTAGCAGACTTCTAACAATCTGTATAGTAGATAGCCTCCCTTCTAAAAATCACAGTGCACTCAAAGCATTCTCAGACTAATGACTGTAAGCAGCGTGCTATACCTTTATCATGTGCTCCTGAACACAGAGTGGGTCACTGCTACCAAGGATGCTAAGTAATTCATCATCAGATATGAAGAAAAACCTTGGGAAAGCATTTCGCTTTGAATCCAAATAATCATTCAAGCTTTTCTGACATTTCTCTAGACCATCATTTATATTTTGGAGGTCTGCAAGTCTATTTGGAGCTTCACAGCATTTTTTAATCACTGGATCTTTCACAGTGTCACTCATTATCTGTAGATGGAGAAAAGAAGCATGTTAAAAACTACTGAGGAGCAACACTATAGATTAAACTAAATTAGGTTTTTCTTGTGACAAAAAATGTCATAACTAGTATTGGTTATTATCAACTAACAATACTCTGTAATATTAGTTAATGTTTTTGCAAGCTATGCCCATCAGTGGTGCACCTAGATTAGTAAAAGTAGTTTTGCTGGTATAACAAGAAACATCAAGGGATTTTGTCAGCCCAGCTCACATCCTGTCATACCTCCGGATGATACACCTAGTTTGGCAGATGCCTGTGGTGTAAGCAAAGCCACAGAATAATGAAGTGACTTCCCTAAAACCAAAGAATAGAAGCAGAGTTGAAGCTCAGGAGCTTCTGGCCCCACAATCAACCAACTGCTACACGCTACTTCTCTAGGCAACCATATTATTCTGAACCTCAAAGGATCCTCCAGCCAGCTGCAGTTGGCACTGATTGGCACTAATGACCATGCAAACTCTAAATGAGTCATGGTGTCTGACATGGTTTAGAAGGAGCTGGTTGTTAAAGATAAAGCACGACTTGCTGTCACAACACAGCTGGAAACACCACCAGACAGAAAAGTCACCTCCAGAGGAAAACTGGAGCAACGATGCTATCTAAAATGAAAGCCTTCAGGTTACTACAGAACTAAAAGCAAAATACATCAAACAACTCTTTCAATCACTTGGCCATTACAAAACAAGTCTGATACTTGCCTTTTTAAATATCCTGTCTATGTTGTCAAACTTTTTAGCTTCCTCTGGAAGTTGTGATCTTATATCCCCACCAATAAAGATGCTCTCAAGGTACATCCATTTCCTCTGAACCACCATCCAGACCTAGAATAATCAAATATAATCAACCAAGGAAAAAAGAATTATGGAAATCATTAATTATGGAAACCTAATCATTAAGAGAAAAAAACTGAAACATTAACTTTCTCTTCCTTGCCTACCTCAATAACTTCACCAATCAATGAAAGAGTTTTTTCCCAGTGGTGAACTGTTGACAGAAAAGGACCCACAAAGCGACTCCCTGAAATACTCTGAAGGTTGACAGTGTTGTCATCAAGAATCTGAATAATGTCATCAACGGAGCCCAAAATAAAGCCTCGCTCTTGAGTGCCTTTGAAGTACCTTTGTACTGTGAATTTCATGTTCTCCCAGGTGTCTACTATATCCTTAACACCCTGCATGGGAACAGAAAAAAGGAGTACATTTTAGTCCTGGAGAACTAAAGAATAGTGGTTCTACCTGAAAAATGAATAATTATTTTAGCAAAGGTTCAGCTCTACCACTCAAGTACAGGCCTACCCTTGAAAAAGGATCACATAAAATGACAACTTCATACCCACCAGATCTATTCTTACTGACCACATGCAAGTTTTATCTGCTAATCTCAATGGCAAAAATACATCTGTACCCTTATCAGAGCCGTAACACCCAAGTGTGAGCTGGATTTGGTTTTATCTTTTGCATTATCAACAAAGCTATTGACTAAGTCACACCACAGTAGTCCCACTAAAGATAACAGGGTCATAAAGTGTCATTACTAAAGTCTTCAACTGAGGTACAGAACCTTTATTACTGGCAATTTTGTGAAAAGTGGGAAGCACCCAGTTTCCCAGTTTGACTATCAAATCTGAGGCTGACTGTGCTGGACTGTCAATTGTGAAGGAAAATGTATGCACCTGCCTCTGGGCCAAGTGAGCTCATACAGAAACAATAAATACAGAACCGCATATTACCGTTTTTACAAGCACTTTTCAAAGGAGCAATGCAGTGGATAAAGCAAATGACTAAAACCTTTTAGGCAACATTTCACTAACCCTCTTAATGCTATTTAAAACTAACACTGAAAGATCAATAACCAAAAAAGAAATAAACCCACCTCTGTCATCAAAAATAGCTTTATTACTTTATTCATATTTTTTAAATTACCTTCTCAATGCTCAACTCCTTAACAGCAGTTCCAACTATTTCACTGATAACATCTGAGTATTTGGAAAGTTCCATAGCAAACATATTCTCCAGAGTAAAAGTTTCTGTTGTCATTTCAAAGCTAGTGCCAGTTCTCTCCATAAGTTCTTTCCAATGCCTGAAAGAGACAGTAGATCATCAAACCATTATAAACAAGACCATGTATTATAGATAGGGACCAACTCAAAATGCAGAAAGCATTCCTTGCAAAAGAAGACAAAGTGCAGCATATGCATGTGATGCAGAATCTCCCAAAGACTCCATCTTTCTATCCCAGCCAACTCCAACAACTCATTGTTTTCTTCCCATGCCCCATGGTTGGTATCGTCAGCTCTACATGAGTGTGATGATGACAGAGCTGAACTGGAAGTTCTGGGCTGCTAAGCCACTGTAACACAGAAGAGCAGTCAAGCAGGGGGAACTGAATACCCAAGGAGCTAGTCATACAAAGAAGAAACATTGATTTAAGGAGGCCTCAGCTACCTCTGGCTCAAGATCAAATATAAGGAGTAAAACCACTGGTGAGCAAATAGCCCTACCAACTTTCCACCAGTGACAACATTTTACTGGCATTCAAAAGTAGCAGAACTACTAATGTTACATGCAAGTTCTGTTGCTATAACCTCTAAAACAAGTAGTATGTGTTCATATGAGTGTCCGAGACAGGCATACAGGTGGGACTACTGACAAATGCGAGAGACAACACCATGCTCTTCTATGGCACTTTGCTACCACGAATCTCCAAGCACTTCACAAAAAGAGATGAGTAAAACTATTTACAGATGGAGACTAAAGCAAAGTCTTGCTCAATAGCAGAGCCAAAAAATGAATCCAGGTATCCTAAAAGTCCTAGTTAAATGTCCTGCCCTGTCCACTAGGAAGCATTTGTTTGGAAACATTTATGGAAACAAACATGATTTCATAGATTTCATAGACATTAGGACTGGAAGGGACCTCGGAAGATCATGGAGTCCAGCCCCCACCCAAAGGGCAGGAAGTCACATGGGGTCATAGGATCCCAGCAAGATAAGCATTCAATTTGCTCTTGAAGGTGTTCAATGTAGGTGTTTGAACCACCTCCAATGGCAGGCTGTTCCAGACCTTGGGGGCTCAGACAGTAAAGAAATTCTTCCTTATGTCCA